GGGGAGCCAAGGTGGGGGGGGGAAACCCCAAACCCCAAGCTCCAAGCTTTCACCCTGGTATCTCCAAATAACCCGACGTACCTGGGGTAAGGAGTCGGTGCTCTGCCCCCGCAGCTTCACCACCGTCTCCGAGGAGCTGGAGGTGGAGGAGCTGATCTCTTTCACGATTAGCCCTGCATAGGGAAGAGAGGAAGAGGAAGGGTGCAAAGGTTGTTTCGAGGCTTCTCGGCTCTCCTGGGATCCGTGCCCGCTTGCCCTTGCTTTGGGGCAAAGGCACCCTCGGCTCAACGGGGCCCCGATGGCTTCGCTTGCAAACAGCTTTACCTACAAAGCATCCCAAATTTGTACCAAAACAGCATCCAAAGCCATCCCCCCAGGGAGCCTGGCACCCCAGAGACCTCCCAGTAGCACCCAGCACGGAGCTGGAAATACTGGGCGACTCTCTGGGTGCAGGCACAGCTCCGGAGAAGCCAGGCTCACACGTGTGATAACAGCACCCGTGCTCACGGGAACAAGCGAGGGGTTGGCATTTAAACGAGAGGGGGGGCCAGTAATTGAGAACATCGCCGAAACGATGTCCATTGTTGGCCGGCAGCTCCTGCCATCGTCCCCTGGTATCTCCAAATAACCCGGTGTGCCTGGGCACACGCCCCCGTGCCACGGGGCAGCTGCACGGAGCATCAGCCCTGCTCCGAGTAAAACCTGCACCTTTCCTGGGCAACCCCTTCTTTTTATAGCTTCACCAAATTTACCCCATCTCTCCTTCAACCCACTGGGCGAACAGCTTTTCCTGGCATCCCAAACGGACACCTCGGAATAATTTCACTCTGCCGAACACCAAAGGTATGACTGGCGTTGGGGAATTGGAAATAAAAGCGGTCGCCGCCTTACCTGAGTGCCCGTTGAACTTGCGCGACAGCAGCATGTCCTCCGTGATGTAGACGCACATGTCGGGGCTCACCTCCATCTCACCAGCCTGCTCCAGCTCCCGGGGGTCATCCACCAGCATCTCGATTTCTACAGGCAGGGAGGAGGTGGGACGAGTCATTGACGTGCACCTTCAGAGCACTCTCCAACCCAACTACCCGGTGAGACCCAAGGCGAAAAGCCCATGCTCAGGGCAGCTGGTGTCTCACCATCATCCTGGGCGCCCGCCCCCCCCCCCGCTCCCCCCCCCGGAGGTGTGGGAGCTGCCGTGGCTGGTCATGGAGCTGCAGGTCTTCAGCTTGCGGTGGGTGCCGGCGCCCGAGAAGCTGTCCTCGGGCCCCATCTCCCTGGGTTTGGGGTCGGTCTCGATACCCGAGGTGTGGGAGCTGCTG